AAGGGTTAGCAGCTAGGGCGTAGATTGAATTTTCTGTTTATCTTTGAAAATCGTAAATAAATATAATTATTTTACTTCAATGACTGAATTTAAAAAAAACGGGATATTTATTTAAAAAAACGAAACTTTTAGAGAATCGGAGTTTTTGATAAAAAGGCTGAAATTCGAGAGACAAAAAAAAATCTCATCCCTGCATTAAGGTCAACCAGTTTTATCCCAAGGAAATGATTTTTAGAGAAACTTCAGAGGGAGGAAAAGGGACTTCAACAATTTCCCTCCGCGGAAAATTAAATTCCTCATAAAACATTTTAACTTGGGCAAAAAAAATTTCAGCGGAAATTAGCGGGAAAAATGGAAAAATCTGAAAAAAAGCGGAAATCCGCGAATCCGCGGAAGAATCTCATCCCTGATAGTAATTGTATTTCATGAGCTTTACTTTCTTTTACACTATTTTATTGAATGTTAAAATGAATGCAATATAGAATTTAGTTAATTTAAAATTAAGTTTTTTTTTATTCTAATACTTTTAATCAAAAAATTATTCTAAGATGGTTCATACATTTTTCATTTCTATTTATCCGGTTGCTAATTTTAATAAGTTTGATGCAGTGAAACACAAATAAAAATTAAACAAAAGCTTGAACATGTACAAGACATTTATTGAACATATACACAACTACAATCAATAAGCAAAAGCACATTTTACAATTCAAAAGTGCTTCTGTGCTAGACTATTTTTTTACAGATATATTTTTAAGTAACTCAGTTTTGTTCATAATTCTAATTTGATATGATCTAACTAATAAGGCAAATTGTTCAAAAGGAATACTGCTAATTGTTTTTCTTTATTTGTTAGCGTTAGTTGGAACTTTTTTTTTTTTAAACTTTTAACACAGCAATGTTAGACAGCACCAGGATTAAAGAACAAAGAATTGTGCATTAACACTTAACAAGACAAAGCACTTTTCATTATCTACAATCTATTAAATTGGTCCAGAGATTATTAGCATAATTAGGTAGCACATGTAATAGGAGGCATTGCAGTTAATTCAACATGTCAAGCTAATTAAATTTGCATACCGGTAGCAACAAATAACATGTTATTAATACGGAGTTTTAACAATAGCAAATATGAGAGTGTAGTAAAATATCACATAAACTTGTAAGATTTAGTAAATCGTAAACTTTAAAATCAGTAAAAGTTGCACAATTTATCTGCACTGCAGATATATGCATTAGCATCAGCTGTATAATTATATAAAAACATGTCTGCAGTTGTGCTTTAAAAAGAAGCTAATTTTTGTGCAATAGACTACGAAAAGAGATTTTTTTGATCTCTTTCGTTCAATTCTGCCTGTTCGATACCCTATGCATGTAAATAACACACTGAATAAATGTTTCTCAAAGAAATAAAAATGATCAAAAATAAAATAGAAAAATAAGTTTTGCAAGTAAAATTATCCCCCTGCAAAAGAAAAAGTTCAACGCTTTAATCAAAGAATCAATGGATTCCACAGGAGCTTAAGTTAGAGCGGTTTTGGCAACTCATCCAGAGAAATTTTCCTTGCATTCATTTTCAGAGATGGAATGGGCTTTTTGGCGAACTTCCTCGCAGTGCCTCTCCTGAAAAAAAGACAAATTGATGAAATCAAAGCTGTAACATCATATCGTACAAGGAAAAATAAATGAGAATTAAATTCCAGAAATATTAAACATTTAATTTGCACACCTCAATTCTCTTGCAGTTTCAAGAATTTATATCCGATATACATGTTTTCTTATTCAATAACAAAGGAAATTGTTTGCTATTTAATTTAAAAAATGTATACAATTTTTTTAACTTTGCCTCTTTATACGAAAAGAACAAATCCACAAATGTGCTAAGTGATCCAAGAATTTTTTATTAAAGAAAAAAAAGCTATAGCTCATTCTTAAACAGGAACACAAAACATTTTATCAAAAACTATAATTTAAATATATTTCACGTAAAATAACGAAATTTTTTTTTTACTTAAGTTCTTTGTTCTTAAGTACCACGATCATTCAATGCAACTAAGGACAGATCTAAATATCTGTTATAAAATTAGTTGCTACTTTTAACTTAATAAAGGACTTTTTCTTCTTATGGAAAAAATTTACAATTGTGTATGAGAGTATTTAATGTATTGAATATTGCCAACTAAGATATTGAAGAGAAATGAAATTTGACAGAAAATGAAATAATTAAAAATAACTTTGACTGAAAAACAATGAATGATTAAATTTTATTTTTAAAAACAAGAACTTTAAATATTAAATGCATGTGTGTAACCATAAAGCTATTGCATCAATATTAATACTTGAAAACTGATGAGATTATAAAGAACATTCATAAGAAAATGTAATAAAATCATTAAAAATAAAAAGTATTTAAAAAGCATTGTTATGTTTTCTTTAAAAAAACAGATACAAAGGCATTAAATAAATTAGAAATTTAAAAATGTTAACATGAATGGAATGTTAAAAACTTAAAAGCTGTTCCCATGGCATGATTAAAATTAAAATGCATAACAAGTATAAGTAATGCTGATAAATATTTTCACATTATCTTTCATTTTTATATAAATTTTTAATTCGCGTGAATAAAAAAAGTATGTGCACATTTTAACTGCCATTAACTTTCAAAACAAACAAATAACTTAATAAACTTTCCAACTGTCGAAATTATGCAGATAATAATCTTCAAAAGTCAAAATAATCAAGAACTAAAATGAAAATGAGAAAGCTTTTTTTTTTTAATAAGTAAAATAAAAGTTAAATTCAAAATTGTTATGAGATACATTACTTTAAATATTATAGCATTTAACAAATAATTCAATTCTGACTCTTGAATTATAATAAACATTAGATTGTAATATTTCTAAAAATTACTTAATGTAGGATAATAGGAAATAAATAGGATAAATTTGAAATTTATGCATAGGAATTTTAGATATTTTTTTAAAATTTATTTTTTAATTGTTTATTTACAACAACAGTATCATACATTATGTATCAATAACCACTGTCACTGGGTCAACTCACCATCTCACTACTCTTAAAATCAGTAAATATTTTCAAAAAATCGTTAAAAGTTTCAATCTAATACAATTACAATAAGAAAATTTAAAAGGATTTGTATAAGACTATTGCTAATATTTTAAGTTTGACGGCCAGGCAAAATACAAATTTGCATAAAAGTATATTTGATAGCATTAACACAATATAACAATATTTTATACATTTTATCACTCTATAAGTAATCATTGAAGTTCAAAAATATAAAAACTTCTTTAATAGTACTAATGAATTACAAAATATTGAAAGTTTCTTTGCATAAACTTCAAAATAATCCTTGCATAATAATTTGATTACAATAACATTTAATTACGTTTAAATTACAACTAGGTATATCAAATTTAGAAATCACTTTTGTATCCCTATCTAAAATAAATTTTCTCTTCTGCTTTTTTCTTCATAAACCTTTTTAAACAATTTAATTAAAATCAACTTTATAAGAGTCATACATACTGTTACTGAAAAAAAAAAGGGGATTAGAATTAGTATTACTGAATACGCTGTTGAACAACCTATTGTTAAAACTGCTAATATATAAGTTATTTTTAAACCTTTTATAGCTTGAATAAGAAAAAAAAAATGAGATTTAATGGTAATACAATTGCAATTCTAACAAAATATAAAGCAATTAAAAATCTTTTCAAAAATGTTAAATTTGCATACAATGAAATTTATTTGAAGGACTTTTTGTGAGAAAATGACAAGCGACGAAAAGAAATTGTATTATAATGATTTAAAACAAAAACTAATTAAGTAAATATTTTTAATGATAAATAGCAATAATTCAATCTATATATTTTTAGAACTTTAAAATCCACTATAGGAAATTATTAATATTATTTTTCCACCTGTTATGTTATAACACAGCTGTTAGAAATCACATATGAGCTTACCATATGTGATTTGCTTATTTTTACTGAAAAGGGATATGACCTATGCCACAAGAGACAAATTTTGTTACATTTAAAATTTTGTTATAAATGCTAAAATGAAAAAAGTAACACAAAAACCACCAAAAAAAATTTTGCTTTTAGAAACTTGTTTCTGTCCAGGAGCTTCAGAGGTTTTAGTTTTGTAAAATTAATTCGAAAAAAAAATTTTTTTTTTTTGCAAGGTGATATTTTTTATTTAAATTTATTTCTGAACTTAGAATACTTCAGAAAAATTTAAAGTTAACAAAAAAAACAAGGAGAGAATTGAATTGAATGTAAGTTTTAATGGCGCAAGGTCCAGAGAGGACAAGCTGGGCCAGACACACGGTTTTAAAAAACAAGGAGAGAGGAGGTTTTGATTTTCTTACTAGTTATTTGCTTATTTTTGCTAACAAGAGAGAAGGAGTTCAAAATATCCACACTCAGCACACAAAAAATTTAAACAGTCTCTAATATGCAATTTTAAATTAAGTATTTTAAACCTTATCAAGAATAAAAGGTAGAAATATATAGATTTATATTTATTTAGTAATATAAGATTTGGTGGAAAATTTTAATTGAGTAAAAAACAGCTTGTTACGTCAAAACAAGTTTTAAATTGCTTTAAATCATGAAAAACTTGCAAAAACTAATAAAAAGCCGAAATGCTGAGAGTAAAATATTTCATACAATTAGCATAACATATTCAAATTTAAGTGAATTTCAATGCAGCAGCAACCACAACCAAAGCTAAGCAAAAGCAGATTTGTGCAATTTTCAAACCACCAGGCAAGCATGCAATAAGAGCTTCTAATATCTACTAAAACAGGCTTTTTGACAGCTGCATTATCTTACATGCTCGTGAATTTTTTCCAACATAGCTTGAACCTGACTGGCTCGATTACGTTCTGCATTAGTCAGTTTATTTTGTATCTGGTTTAATCTACTTCCAATCTCGAGCTGGTTAAGCTCATTCATTTGACGTACTTTGAATATCTGCAATGCAAAGTGATGGACACACAAAACATAAATGAAACAAAAAAAGCAAGGTTAAAATTGAGGACACACTGAAAATTCAGTATCCCTTCAATATTTAGGCATTGTTTTCAAAAACTCAGCTTAAATAAAGATTTTGCTAAAAAATATTTATTCTTAAATATTTAAAATATGAATGAAAAAGTTTTGGTTAAAAAATGTCTTTGAAAATTAAAACAAATTAAGATGAATAAAATGTCAATATATTTAAACTAAATCTCTATGCATTTAGCTTGATACACTTAATTTAGATTAATCAATATTTTCTTAAATATGCATAAAATACTGCATTACATATTATGTATACTGTAAAAAATATTTTCAAAACAAAATTTAAAAAATTTAGTACACTACTTGGTCTTGGAAGAAAAAAAGTTAAAAATACATTTCTTCAGATTAATAATTTGTGTACAATTTTGGAAAATATTCATGCCTAATATTAATAAAGTAACTGTTCAGTGCATCCTGAATTAAAAAACTGAAACACACTGACAAATCATAAATAAAAAGCGTCTGAAACAGAATTACACAATAAGATTATTTGAACAGGAAAATTTTATAATAGGAAACTAAAAACACAGGTAAATTTTAAATCCACTGTTAATTAATAATTGATTTGAAAACGAAATGTCATTATTCGTAATTTTTTTTTTTAAACTTGTAACTTCAATTCAAAATTTTTTTTAATTCAAAACTTTTTTTAATTCAAATTTTTTTTTAATTCAAAACTTTTTTTTTTCACAGAGTAAAATTTTTAATGTTTAAAAATATTAATGCAATTCAATTTTTAGTTTCCATATGAAAATACTCTCCAGAAATAACCAATCAGAAAATTTAAATCAAGCATTTTTAACTTTATTTTTATTGATAAACTAAAATTTTNGTGAAAATTTAGACATAATTTGTGAAAATTAAAAATTATATTAAAATATCAACTCAAAAATATGGTAAAAATATGGATTTATCGTTTTCAAGGGATACAAAAATAAAATTTTAAGAAAAAATATTTTGTGAAACTACCATTTTTTATAAAGTTAAATTTGTGAACGTACCGCTAAACGGTAGTAAATTAGGCCTGGACAGACTCCTGAATACTCTCCAGAAATAACCAATCAGAAAATTTAAATCAAGCATTTTTAACTTTATTTTTATTGATAAAGTAAAATTTTTAGAATAAATAGTTTTAAGAATTTCAAAATAACTACCATGTAAAAAGTTTTAGTTTCTGTATGTTTTTATTATAGGAGTACATACTGAACTGACATTTTATGCTCAACAAACAAAATAATTCAACAAACTTTAACAAAAAAAACATAACTTCAAAAAGCAAAGAAAAAAGAAATCATAATCCACTATTTTAGATTATACATATTTTGCAAATAAGATATACTTTATATCTTATTTTGTCAAACCAATTTTCTCAAATTAAACACTATTTCAAAATTCGAAAATATTTTTTAAAACAAAATTATCAGAAACAAAGCAATATCCGGAAAAAGAAACTATACTAAGAACACACATGACAAACAATTGCAGAGGGACTTAAAATATAAAAGGATTCATTTCTTTTATGACACAGTAATACATAAAAACAGTTTGTGTCTATTATAAAATTACATTTTTTATATAAAATGGTTCTAAATATTTCATTCCCCCAAATGAAAATGATCATGTTCTCAGTTTTAGTTTACTGCTCATAAGTTGAAATGTTCACAATTACTAGTCCATAAAAAATTTTATGGAATAAACTCCTTTAAATTTTTTTTTTTGAAACTAAATAAATAATTTCATTTAACTAAAATAAACAAAGTTTTATAAATTGAATAGATAAATTATTATTATTAAATAGATAAATGCCATAAAATGATTTAAAAAAGTGAATTCAAATAACTATAACCAATGTCTGTACCTTCCAAAGGTTTACTAAATTACATTAAAACCTATAAAATTTCTAACTTATACAGTGCTTTCAGAACAGAAAAAAAAAAAAAAAAAAAAAAAAAAAGGGNAAAAAAAATGGGTGAGAATTTCTCACCCTTTCTCAAAAACAGGGTGAGATTTCAAAAAATTAAAAAAAACACAAATAGACTTAACACAATAGAAATTTTTTTTCTCTTTAATTATAATACATTTTTAACATCTTCTAATTGAATATTTTTGCTGCATCATCATAAGGAAAATGTTCTATAACTACTTTTTCATCAGCTATTATATATATTTGACTGAAAAATATCTGTATTTGCTTCATTTGTCCGCTTACGGAGTAGAAGATGTAACCTTAGCAAGTATTTGTCCATCTTACATTCATGCACATAAAATGCAAATGTCTTACATGAAGAAACCTTACCTATGATGAACACGTGGTTGCCAAGAAATGTGTCATGAAAGGGGTTCGGGGAGGGGGGGGGCACCGGTTTTGAACAATACTGGTAAATAGGGAAGCTAGATAACAAGAACCGATGTTCAAAATAATGAAAGATCAAGGAAGAAAAGTGAAACGAATTTTATTCAAAATGGCAATAGACGAAATTTTTTCCAAAATTCGCGCATTTTGAAATTGATTAACAGAGTGCGCGAACTTCTCGCATTTATAATTTTTTATTGCGAGAAAAGAAAAAATATGCGAGATTCTCGCACTGTAATGAAAACACTGTTATAAAAACCAATTGGCACTGTTTTAAAGAAATGTATTAACTAGCAATAACTTAAGAGAACACAAATGAAATTTATAAAATATGATACCATTATAAAAAAAGTAAAGTTATTTTACATTTAGCTAAAATTTTTCAAGTAACTTACATGTTCCTTTGACTTTTCTTGGATTTCCTTAATTACAGCATCTCGATTTGATTGAGCTACCTCTAACTTCTTAGTGCTTTTCTCTCGCAAACTTTCAGTCTGTTCCTCCATCTGTTTCTTGATTTCTAGAATATGCTTGTCCTGAAAAATTAATGATTACGCCATTAACTCAGATACTGCAAAAGAAAAAATTATTGTAAAAATGTTCTTCATTAAAAATATATTCCTAGCAATATTTTGCTATTTTAGAAGTTAGATCACAAGAATACTGCAAAAAAAATTTGGAGTCAGAAATGTGAATTTATATATGAACAAATCCATTTGATCAATAAAAAAACTTTCTATAAAAAAAAGTTTAATAGTAATTTAAATGCGTCATTGTATAAGTTTTTAACGCCAAAGTAAGCAAAACTTTAAATAAACAATTGTATTTATAAATCTGAGAGGGGAAAAAAAATTGAATTTTAAATTTGTAAACATCCCAGCCTTTATAAATTGAGTATTTACACACAGTTTATACACGACTTTAAATCTACACTTTTGGTAAATTAAAGAAAGAAATGTCTCAAAAGATTGTACCTTTATAACAAAGTATAAAAAGATTTTCATTACCAAGCATGAAAACATTTAGATTTTAAGATCATTTAAATGAGGACTTTTTGTGCATATTTTTAAACTTACACAAATGCACAGAAGATATAAATTTTAAATTTAGTTGAAGATTACCATTACATACACCACAAAAGAACCATACAATAATTTAGAAATACAAAAAAATAAATAGCTCAGACGTCTCAGTTCCCTGACTTGCAGTTTCTGGAGTGCCCCTCCAAGATGTTGGAGACTGGAGTTCGGAAACAGCCAAAAGTTTAATCTGTTTCAATATTAGGGGGAAGAGTTGAAATATTCTATTCTTTGTTATTAACAATTTTGTATTGAATTGAAATGTTTTTAAAACAATTTTTTTAACAAAAAATATACTGGTCAAAAAAAAAAAAGAGGGGGGGGGGGGGANCAAATAAGAGAATAAGCCATTGTGTGATAGCTAATGGGAACTTTAATTCTTTGGAATGATATAAAGAGCATGAAATGATCCTTCAGAGCAACAATTTGATGACATCTAAATAACAAAACTGATAGATTGGAAATGATATGGGATGTTTTATATGGTGTGAGGTACTCCCAAACTGCTAAGACACCTGTTTCGCATGGATGCAATGATGTTGTCAATGAGACTGAGGAATAGTGTTCCACTTGTGTGAGGCGTGATACTGTAACAAGAGGCCTTGGTCTCTCAGAAAAGCGTCGTTCGAGTGCGTCCCAAACAAATTAGGAGCAGGAGTGTATGCTGGCCACTTCATACAAGATTTAGATTCAAGAAAGCTCTCCACAAGAAAAGCTGCAAGAGGTCTGAATTATCTTGTATTAAAAGAAAGGAATCACCAATGGCTGCTGCAAAAGATAAGACTTATGTCTGAGATCTAAGGGTCTCATCTGTATAACTTTGAGCAGTCAAATTTCAATTTTGAACGATTAGAGGTCAATCTGTCCACCTATGCTGATTCCAGTCCATATAATCAAAATAGCTTGCCTTAAGATCTTTCCAGAACAAATATAAGGTTATTTTGAGTGCCCCTTAGTTGCCATAACAAAACAAGTCTTGTCTCAATAAAAACTTAATCGGGTCTCGCCCGCAAAACAGCAGTTGACTCCAGTCATTTGCATCCATCATTTTTTTTTCAAAACAAAAATCGAATGTGGAATTTCACAGCCGAGACCGTCAGAAACGGCAGCTTCTATGAGATAACAATTTCTGCACTTTTGGACATTTTTCTGGTTTTAGACTTCACGAATGTTGATTTGCGTATGAAGTTTTGTTTTCTGCAACACTTTATACAATAGTTGTTTTATTTTACATTAATTATCGGAAGAAATATATCAAAGAGTTATGAAGTCACATGAAAACTATGAGCTGGATTATGTGAAAAGTTATGTCTAACTACTATTTACTTTTCAAAAGTTTAAGAAAACTAGAGCTCCAAAAATTCTTTGATTCCTACTGTGTTAAGTATTTTGTTAAAGTCTATTTAAAAGTAACTCATATACAACACCTTAAAAGAATTAAAATAGAAAATTGCAACCAATTCTCGATTATATATACATACTTTTATGTAATATGATTACATACTTTTGTCTTCTAATTTTTAAGACAGACTGATATTGTGTTTATTACACTAATTTAGTAATTATCAAGTAAAATAAAATCAAAATTCATTGAAACCCTTAAGAGCTTACTTTTTCTAATGATGCGGTCTGAGAAAGTTATACACCCTTAATTTAAATAATAAATGAAGATTGTCATATTATCAAGATCAAGTGCAATTACTATGACGAACATTTGGCAGAGTTCCACCTGGGAATAATAAAAAAAAAGGCCAGACACTTCCTCACAGAAAAAGGCACTTTAGTTTTGAAAGGGCACTCACTTAACACCGTAAAAATTTATCAAAATGTATTATGTAATAATTGAATTTGATCAACAAGTTTCAAATTATCTTTTACTATTTAATGTATGCATTTTAGAAAAGTATTTCACACTCATTATCAAAATAAAAGAAAACTTTGTAGTTAACAGGAAAATAATTAAAAGCACACTAGAAGACAATCACTGTGCACAAATTTTTTGCAAAAAGTAAACNCAAAAAAAAAAAAAAAAAAAAAAAAGATTGGAGGGTAACCAAGTTGATAGCTTTTGTTCTATAATTCAAACTGAAAATAATGAGAAAATAAGCATTTAAAGGTGAATTTTTAAAAAAAATAAATAACTTATTTATTTAAAAACTCATTTTAAAATCGCTCCTCTGCAAAAGGAGATACTTAAAACTAAACCAGTTGAGAATAATCCAAACAAAATAAATATTTGTAATAATAATAATCAGAATAAAACCTATAAACACATAATTTTACCACAGAGTAATTATTATTTAAACAGTGAATTAATTTTTTAAAAATTTTTACAAAATGGGCAAGGAGGGCGCATCAAAGGGCAGGCTGCACTTTTAAAAGACGCTTAAGGAGAAAAATGCATCTATCAATGCAAACATCCAAAACAGAATATGTAAAAATAATCACTTTAAAAAACACAGCTTACATGCTCTCTTAGCTTCTCTTTTAGGGAGTTTATTTTAGCTTCACGCTGTTCCTGAGCAGTCATCAACTTCTTATTAATAGCTTCCAATTTCACTTCCTTGTCTGGAGAATCACCCTGCTTTCGTTTTTCATCAACCTTCTGAACCTATACATAGAACAAAAATAGTCAATGATTATAAAAACTAATAAGTACAAGAGTATAAATCCACATTTTTTCCCCAGAAACATTTCAAAATCTTTTTCTAATAACAGGGATGAGATTGACCAAAAGACAAAAAAGCTGAATTTCCACACGAGTAAATTTTACAAGTGTGCAATTGTTTAATAATAAACTCCAGACAATTTAAGATAATAAATAACTATGCGCTGAGGCATAAATACAAATCCCGATATTGGATATTTAAATAGAGTGATTACGAACCCCAATGTCTTACTTTTAAATCATATATAAATACGAAAATCGATGTTTGATATTATAACTGTATGAATGAATCACGAAATTGGATTCTAAACTTGCATGAATACGAATCACTACATAGGTTTTTAAAAACGCGTAAATACAAATCGCGATATCGTATTTTTAAATCTCGTAAATAAGAATATCAATGTACGATATTTAAATAGAGTGAATAAGAATCGCAATGCGTAACATTCAAATCGCGTAAATACAAAAAGCTATGTTTGATATTAAAATCGTGTGAATAAGAATCTAGATATTAGCAGATTCTGGGCTTTGGACATCTAAAAGGCTTGTTTGAAGCCTTACAAAAATAAGAGCCATCTGGTGGGTGGGTAAAAATCTTATCTTCTGCATGTAAAAGGGGAGAAAATAGCTAAAATAGGTAAAAATGCGGAAGAGTTGGCAGCTATGCAGATTGAATTTATTTCAACAAGTAGATTTTCTGAAAAAAAAAAAACAGAATATTTTTTTTAAAAAGTTACTTTTAGAGAATCGGAGTTTTCAATAAAAAGGCTGAAATTCAAGAGGCTGAAATCAGCTAAAAAGCGGAAAAATCTAATCCCTGTAATAATTTTACTGGTATAATACAGAAATACTCTTTAAAATATTAAGAACTTAAATATTACTTGACGTGTTTTTCCAACTCATCAAATTAGAAAGTTACTTTGGTCACAAGAAAGGTTTAAAGTGTATATTTTTTTTCTCTATAAAATATTATAGCACAACTTTTCTAATCTATAATACAAAAGCGTATCTCTATTATATATTTACAAAATAATAAAAATTAGTTTGATTAAATATGTTTCACTTCTTACAAAACAAAGAAACATCTCGTTAGTTACAAGGAAGGACAGAGACAATTAAAATATTTTCTGAATTGTTCAGAATTAAAATAGTAGCCAACATTTCACTGACTTTATTTTATTACAAGATATCCAGACCGCTTGACATGCACTTTCACATACCGTTGTAGGCAAGTTTCTGATTTAGTTTCTTTCAAGTGAACAAAACTTTATTTTGAATTTAATATTTATTGAACTCAAAACAAATATTTTTAGTTCATATACAGGGTATCCGCACACCTGGAAAGTCATGAAAATCATGGAAAGTCACGATTTTAACTATTTTTTTAAAAAAAAAAAAAATCAGGGAAAGCCATGAATTTAGGTTGCCGAAAATTTTTATTTTTAAGATGGAATCCCCCCCCCTTTTAATGGTATTCCGCATATCTGACTTTGTAACAAAATCCCAACTCAGTGTCATATTTTATTAAAATATAAAAAGTTTTTATCATGTTCTTTAAAAATTATGGTGTTCTTTCTAAAAATGAAAGAGCTCTGCTATTATTTTTTCAGCTATTTTATTGCTTCAAATCTTCCTTTACTCCTTTTTAAATTTAAAATCAAATATGAAGATGCAGAGTATAACAGTTTTGGTTATACCTATCATTTCAATTAATATTATTATAATGCTTTTCAAATTTATTATTCTGTTTTTGTAGGAGAAAATAGTAACTTCGTTAAGCCATGAAAAGTTCTTGGAATTAATCATGGAAAGTAATGAATTTGAAAATTTAAAATGTAGCAGATACCCTGCATATATTTTTGTTAAACATCACATCTTTATACAAAACAAATGCAACTTTTACAGAAATTTATTTGGTGAAATCTTTCAAATAAATACTTTTTGGTATTTATTGCAGAAAATACTTTTATAGTTATCTGCACAAAGTCTAAATTAAATTTATATGTATATTAGCAGATATGTCTAACTTTAAAGACTAAAAATTTACACTAGTACAAACACCAACTGTATGATTACAAACTTCAGTATCTGTGCTTGTTATTTTTATTCTTAATTTTATGCATATTATTTTTATCTATAAGACTTATTCACTCTAAATCAGTGACTCATTTTATTAGTGCCACTTTTTTTTGGTGAGAGAAGGGTACTGAAATGTTTTACATTAACTTTTAGTAAAGTGCAATAAATCTAAATGAAGATTTAGGTATTTTCAGGCTTCAAAGTTGCTCAAAATAAAAATTACAACATTTAACAAAAAATTACGACAAAAACGATAGATTTTTTAGAGCAATACATACATTCAAACACACTACACTATTTAGAGAAACCGAGGGACTTAACATTGCGCTGCTATTTCCTTTTACTAAAAACAAAAAAATTTAAAAAAAATATTTGTTAAGCAAGTTTATCAGAATTGATTTTAAAAAGAAGTGACATTTTGAGCATGCAAAGATACAGTGAGAAATCTCAGAACATGAATTTTACTTTATTTCAGAAATGATCCCTCCATATGAAAATAGATTTAGATAAATTTAAAAGAAAACTAGTTATTTTAATGCAACAATAAACTACTTCACAATTTAATCATACATAGTGAACTTAGTAAAGAATGTATACAAAAATAAACAAATAAGAAAATGGAATATACAGCTGAAACTGGTAAAAGCATTTTATGATGTCTTCTTCCTTATCCCCAAAATTAGCCAGGCTAAACAATGTCCATGAAATTCATGACCTGGAGGAAGTCTGCCACCAAAAGTGGGTTACTTAGAATGTCCCTTTTGTCCAGTCCAAGACAGTCCAGGATATGTTGGGGAGAAGCCTGCATGTTGTGATAATTATTCTTTCCTTCGAGAGTAGAGTTAAAATCTTCCCAAACTGCCCCGGTGCCACACTATATGATGTTATTACCGTATGATTATATTACAGCACTGTTTATAGTAATAAAGACTAAGTTAAAAATACGAATTTTTTTATTTTAAGCAAAATTAAAGGCATTGAGGGGAAAAATTTGTTCTTATGAAACAAAAATTCATCTCACTTTCATAGAAGAGCGGCAGCACCCTAACATCTTTTACAAGAAATTTTTTTAAAAAATAAATAAACAAAAACTGAAAACATAACAGGCATAAAAATATGCCTGTGAAAGAAATAACACAAAATAAATTTACAATACAACATAGAATAGGAGCTGCAGCAGCATCTTTGATGCAGTATTTAACTCTATATCAGACATATTTCTTAGTTTAGCAAATGCGTAGTTAGATTATTTATTATATTAGAAAAAAATGTGAAAGAAAGGATTCCTTTCTTTCAAAAATTGACAATAATTCAGTTGCCTATATGTGACAGACACCTGCTGAGCATGAATTTAGATGCCTATGACTGGCTAATGATGATGAAAAGAGGCATAAAATGACAAAAACAGAAAGTGGTTTAAGAAGGATGGCCTTTATCAAATTACAAATACAGAGTGACTCCAAAAACCTTGGATAAGTATTGTTTAACATATTTCATTAAGCAAAAGGAAATCATTTCAGGCAATTATACATCAACCTGCGAGACCAAATGTAACAAAAATTGAAAGAACTACACATAATTAGTTAAAGTTTAGCAAAATAACTTTCACATTCAAGTTTCAACCTTATACTTTCTTTGGTGAAAGTTCTAAAATTCACCCATAAAAACAATTAAAAATTTATATATATATATATAAATTATACAGTAGGGAACCGATTATCCGGAACGATCGGGACCATCGCTATTCCGGATAACTGATTTTTCCGGTTTTCTGAATCGCTGCAACAAGCCGTTTTTTTTATTGTTAAACCCAAATAATAAAAAAAATTTTTGGAAATAATCTTAAAAAGAAGAAAAATCGATGGAGTAATAAACTAATGATTATTTCCAAAATGACGGTAAGGTAAACATCTTTAAAAAAAGAAAGAAAAATCCTAAAATCTTATAAGGGAAAAAAAAGTTTTTTTTAAAATGGCGGGAAAATTTATCGAATTTCTTTCCGGTTTTTTGGTTTTCCGGTTTTCTGATTTCCGGATAACGGGTTCTGTACTGTATATATATATATATTACTTTTTAATAATTCATTTGAAACAAAACTTTAAATTAACAAGAATTATTGAAAGTAAAACACATGAAATGATGATTTAGAGGAAATTGTAAATAGAGAAAAAGACCTTGTGACTGATTATACAAATACAAACTATGTTTCTATTGTAAAGTTTTTAAATAAGCTTTATTATTATTACAAAATACTTATAAAATCAGAAATTATTTTTTTTTACCTAAAATAATTTAATCAAAACAAATATCAATGGTAAGGTGCAATTAAATGCTTATTTTTTGTCGCCCTTTGTGTCATGTAGATTCCTTGTATTTTGGGCAATTTCACATCTAAAAAGTTACTTCATGCAAAAGGAAATCTTACTATTTCTCTAGCTTTTTCCTGAATTGTTTTGATGTGAGTTTCTCTGTTCTTATTCCAAGATTCTAACTTCTGTTCCAAGTTTTCTTTAGTAGACTGCATGAAATTTGAATTCACTTCTTCCTTCTTAGCATTTACTGCTTCCAAGTGACTAAGTTTCTCAGTAACATAATTCAGTTTCTGCAATTCTAGAGACTAAAAATAAAAATCAATAAATAAGATTTCCTCCTGCTTAATCTAATCTAAATTGCATAAACACCAATTGCTTAGCTAAATTTTTATACTATAAATGAGTTTCATGCAGTTTTAAATTCAACTTCATAAGTCTTATAACTTATTGCAAGTCATAGCGCACACCAATGAGACAATAAAATGAAAAAGAACGTTCATAATTGATAAATATCAGAATGCCAAAATAAATAAATTTTAAAATAAATGGTTTGTTATTTTTACTAATAACCATAGAGATCAATATTAAAAATAAACTATAACAAGTTTCATATGTAAAATTACTTTTATCATTTATAAACAAACTTACAGAACTCTAAGCCTTTCCTTTTCTAAGAATTCTTTAGTTTTAAAAATTAGTTACACATGACGAATAAAAGGTTAAAAAAAAAGCTTCCCAGCATAAGACTTTCACTCCTCAAACCAGCAATTTGAATATTAAGGGATTCATAAAAATTTCATGCAATTTTGATTAATTAGTCTGATTAATTGATTAATATATATATAAAAAAAACATAAATAGTAGCAACATATAGTCAATAGTTAAAATATGTCACTTATAAATTCCCTGTTTCTCTGAAAAACTTCATTAAATTCATCAATTAATTTTCAGTTAAAAAACAAAATTTTTTTGTTCTTGTTTAATCTTCAAAAAAAAAAGGTAAATAAATTTTATACAAAATCAAAATTATAAAATCTTTGACAAGGTAAGCGTTTTAAACTTCTATTTTAAAAAATTTTGTTGTATTGATCACATATTATATAAATTTAAGATTAAAGAATATACAGTTAATCAACATTGTATTTTGCTAGATTTATTTTTGTTTGAAAAATAAATTATCTAGGTTATGTTTTAAAATAAATTCTTTGAAATATCTTTTCTTACTAAAAAGAGAAAATTATTCACAATTTGAGAACTATTTGAATATTTGGTATTAAAACAATAATTCAAAAATAGTTGATTTTTCTTCCCAATATAAATTGCTTTATACGGATGAAAGATTAATGACTATAATTAATATTAGTTTCTTAAAGTTCATAATATTCCTAAGACAAGGAAAAAAACGGGTTTTCAGAAGAAAACTTTGTTTAAACTAGATTTTATTTAACCAGTCATTTTGGTTTAATTAAATCGAAATTGTTAAATAAAATACTTTATCCTCTAAATGAAAATTTTTTTTACAATATTATATAATAGCTTAATTACTCTTAACTATTAAATATTATCAATAAACAATTAAAATATATCAATTTTCTTTTCAAAAACAAGCTTACATGATAAATACCTGAACATACTTACATATCTAAACTTTACAAATAAAAATTAAATATCAAAATTATATATTAGATGTGTGTAAATGAAAGAGTTATCTTTGTCAGCAGGGGTCTGTCCAGACATTTTGTGAAAGGTCAGTTTTTCGTGAAATTGTGAAAAAATTACTCACATTTTTTCAATCAGGGTCCGCTTTTATGAATTTGTGCAAATAGGGTCCGTTATTACAAAAAAAAAAAAAACTTTTTCAAGGAGTTTTTAAATTGTAAAGATTATTGTTCGATTTACGAGATTATAGTTCGACAATTGTTATTCGATTAACAAAATAATAATGAAGATAAACAAATTTGTGAAGGGTCCGTTTTAAAGTTAAAATATGTTGTGAAGGGTTCGTTTTAAAGTTAAAATATTTTGTGAAGGGTTCGTTTTTATGAAAAGATATTTCGTGAAGGGTCCGTTAACGGACCCAAATTTCTTCTAAACAGACCCCTGGTCAGTATATATGAAAATATAATTTTTGAAATTTATTTTAACACAATGAAAACAAAACACTGCACAGAAAAAATGAACATTAAATAAAATAGACATTGATAATATTTTAAATGAATTTTGAATATTTTTAAATGCTCTTATTTAGGCATTGCATTTTGAAATTCGAATCATAACTTTCAAATAGTAAAATATAAAATTCAGAAAAGCACCTCATTTCCATCTACGCTTTTGATTGTACCAAGCACAATGCTGATTTTTAACAAGATAAAAAAAAACAACTTTTGATCTTGCCATACAACATTAATTTAGAAAACTACCAGAACATGGAATTTAAGATGGTCTGTTATGCATTATAAAAGTTTTTAGGGACATTATGACTTAATTTTAAATTTAATTAAAATTATTTTATAAATTCATTTTTGCAGAAGAGTAAAATTACAAATATGTTCATTTAAAGTAACTGCAAAATTTACATTAGCAGTTAATCTTCAAATTAACAATATTAAAAGAATATTGGAAATATTTACTTTTTTCATTTGGTCACATTCAAACTGAAGATATATCACAAACAATAGAACATTTAATTACTTTAAAGTTTTACTTAAAAAAACTCCCTGATTAGTAACAAGACATAGACAAACAATATAATTTTAACTTGCTGAGCATGTAATGTATTTAATTACACAATAAAACCACAATGACACTTAGAGGATCATAAATCTATATTGAAATTATGGGGGGAAAGACTAGTGAATATTGGTGATCGAAATGGGCTACAGGTAGCGTATAGCAGAACTCTTAACCTATGACTAATTCCGCATGTGGATCGCACCGACCACTGTGCTAACGCAAAATATCCTCAGTGGTAGACGAATCATGGGCTAGAGTCTTCTTGTCATCAGGCTAACTGCGCGAGGTTTTCCTTTTAAAGTAACGCAAATTAGGGTTAGTTCCATCAAGAAGTTCTCCACGAAGGCAATATTTCTCCCAATACTTGATCCAGGAGTTTCCTTGTCTTCTGGATGGGGTTCAAAATGACAAGTATACGGAGTTGAAAATTGGTAATCGTAAACCAAAAATTGGGTCGATTCAACGACGGTTTTAAAATAAAATATTGTTGGATGTTGGCAAAATTAAAATTGCGTCAGAATGGCAATTATTTCATGCGGAAAACTTCTAGAATTGGAAATTGTATAATTCATCTATTGAATTTTAAAATTGCCATAATTTTTATAATTAAATATTTATTAATACAAGAGTTACATGGGAAGCACAAGAAACTCACTGTGGCTGCCTCAAGGCAAGACATGCCCCACATTTGACTGTGATAATATACAAAGATTTATATATTAGCAATTAATGCAACAAATAATAACACAACCAAGAAGTTAAGACACTTAACTACATATCTATGAATAAATCATAGAAATAGAAAAAACATAGGAGAGCATGGAACATTTCAGAAATGCACCAAAATTGAAGATTTCTTGACATGACTAAACGGAAATAATAAAAACAGGATCGACAGGCTTGTCATATACCTGCTCTCAATGTGTTCAATTATTACACTCTTGTAATTATTTAAACTTCATAAGCATCGCACAAATACATTACCTTCATTGTTTTTATTAACAGTTACAAGTGATAAAAGTTATTGTGCTACCACTTTTCCGTTTAAACAAAACATTTCTATTCTGAAGACTTAGTAAATTATTTTATGAAAAAAAGCTTGTAAATTAAAAACCTTAAAATTTTAAATTAATATGTATGAACAGCGGAATAATTATTTTAAAGCATACGCATTTAGCTATTTTCTGACAATGCTTAAATATACTTTAATTCTAATTTATTAGTTTTATTTTAAGTTAATCGCTTATTTTAGTTTTAATTTTAAACCTTTTACATTAAACGAATAAAACATACTATTATTTTGTGTTTAATTATATATCAAACCAACAGTATAGAATATGCAAATTCTTATGGTTACTACAACAAAAAGAAAAACTCAAAGTGTAAACATTGTTTTCAGTTTTTACAGCATTTTGTTACCAATAGTTGTAGTTGGACTGACAAATTAGTGTGCGGTGCTCGCCACTATCTCGGCAAGTTAAAAGTTATCATGTAAAAGCAACCCAGTGATAAATATTCTTCATCAGACGAAGAACTGACACTTACCCTTTTTTTACCTCTTCGCTAGCTCGATCGCAGGATGACCGATAATGTTTAAGTTCATTAACGTTATACTAATGTCATGTTTGTTAAAACTTTACTAATGTTATGAATAAATGTTCTAAGAAAAATTTTAATATAGCTTTAGTTATTTTCACTCCAATAAAAATATATACCTGTCTCCTTTCTTCCGCAGCTTTGAGTTTCTTTTCGATGTCTTCCATGGATAGAGTGGACTTGGGTAGTGACTGAGACGCAACATGCTTAGGGGACTCCACAGAGGGGGGCTGCAAAACAAGCTCATATTTAAGGCCACCTTTCGATTGCTCAGAGCACTTGACTTCAGTTGCTGAAAGAGGAAGGAAAAAAAAAAGAGACAATAAACGAGTAAATTCTTTAAAAATTATGAAGGGTATGTACAGAATGCAAACAAATATCCAGATTCTAAAAGTAAAACAAGCGTTGAGTATAACTAGAAAATATAAGTGTTTTCCCGAAGGATCTTTAGAAAGGTAGCCCACCCTGCTGGCTGTTCACGGGGGTAAATGAACCATCCTTGCATCTTTCTTTAAGAAAAAAAGAGAGACAGCAGTAGTAGAAACCAGGAACTTCAGAATTGCATGGCAAGTAGAAATTTTTAGTCAAAATACTATTATTTCTCATGTTTGAGTATTTTTAATTCTGTTTTGAAGGGTGCTCATTTAGCTGGATATAAATATATTTTTTACATGTTTAGTGCCCTTCAATACTGAAGGCGCCTTCGCGTTTGTAAAAGTACCCTTGTTTATTTCTAGGGAGATCCCTGATAATTATCATGAAAAAATTTCATTAAACAAGAGTCAATCCAGGAAAGGTTCATTAACAGATCCTTTTTAATTATTTCATAGTAAAATTTAAGAAGCATTCACTAAATTTTCACTTAACAATGTATTATGACAACTCATAACTTTAAAGCTACAGCTCCTTGAAAGACATGGTTTTAGTATTTATTAAAAAAAAAATACAGGACCATCTTCAATGCTCTTCCTAAGCGTTTTCAGACGTGTGACCCATCCTACCTGCCCTTTGATCCCTATAAGTGCGACCTTTTTGCAAAAAATAAGTCGCCATCCCTTAAAAGCACTGCCTTTTTATTCATATTCCACTTTTAAGAAAAATTAAATCTTAAAATAATAATTACACACAAAAATTGTCTGAGTTTAATTTATTGATAAATTTTTACTGTGCTAAGTGAGAGCCTTTTCAAAACAAAATGTGCTCTTGCCTCTTTTTATTCCTAAAGAGAACTATTTCATTTTCACACATTCACAATGACCAGACCACAATTATGATTTTTGAACAGAGTTCTCCCTGGGAATAAAAAAAGGGAAGGGAGCTTTCCCACAGAAAAGGGCACTCGCTTAACACCATAAACGTTTATCAAAATGTGTAATATCATGCAATAACTGTGTGTGGATTTGATTCTCAATAGTTCTTAAGTTACCGTCTTATATTACTTTATGTAAATACATTTCAAAAAGTAATTTTCACTCATCATCTAAGTAAAAAAAATGTGTAGTTTGTAAATAATAATTAATGGGATGCTAAGAGAAAATCTCGAATTACATTAAAAGAAAAAAATTGTTTGGATAAACTTAAGAAAATTTTCCTATAAGTTATACTGAAAATTTCTTTACAGCAAAATTATACTTAAAGTATCCATGCGATGCATCAATACCATATAGTACGATAAACATCGATAATCTCGAAAGCATTGCCGACAATGGTAAAAACAGACGATAATGGAACTTTTCGGTAAGCCAGGCACAAGCGAAAAGTCGCCAAAAAATTTAGGCATCCAGCAACCTTTTTTCCTACTATGCATTTTTTTAAACAAAAAAATGAAGTTCACAAAAAATTAAATAAAATAAGTAAAAATTTAAAGGGGGAAGAAAAATTTATTTCCTTGCTCCCCGCTTAACCGAAAAATTGATAATTTAACAAGAGATAATTATCGTCATCGATAGAACTACAATATCTGAGTAAGGTCATATCGATATCATTGCAATAAATGTGGAACACTAATTTTGCCAGTACCGATAAAGGTAATTATCGGATATCGCGAATATTGATAAATTATACGTAGATAAAGAAAATGTTGTCTTATGTAAAATTAATGTAACTTAGTAAAAATTGAAGGGAAAAAAAAATGCGACATGTCAAGAAATATTTATTTCTTAACATATTGACACATTAAAATTCCGATATCAGCTTTTATATTTAGTTTTCGCAAGCATTATTAAATGAGCCACGCTAATCAGCCCTCCCAAGAGAAAACAGGACAACTTAAAAACATCACTTATCTTCAAACAGCGTCAATAAGCAGGGGTCTGTCCAGACATTTTGTGAAAGGTCCGTTTTTCGTGAAATTGTGAAAAAATTACTCACATTCTTTCAACCAGGGTCCGCTTTTATGAATTTGTGCAAATAGGGTCCGTTATTGCGAAAAAAAACTTTTTCAAGGAGTTTTTAAATTGTAAAGACATACAAGATTATGCTCAACACTGTAAAATTATAATTAAAAAAATTAAATTTTAAAAAATAAACAACAATTGCTGCTTCTAAATTAGAGATGCAGCATACAAATATTTGGTATTTAGTCTATACTGCTGAACGCAGAATATTAATTTCGGACGAATAATGGAAGAATTGTCTGCAGAAGACAAAACTTAAGTCGTTTACATCCATCTTTCTTGTTTTCTGCCCTGGAAAGGGTTTATTCGATCAACAAAATAATAATGAAGATAAACAAATTTGTGAAGGGTCCGTTTTTAAGTTAAAATATTTTGTGAAGGGTCCGTTTTTATGTCCGTTTCCCAAATTTCTTCTAAACAGACCCCTGATAAGGGGAGGGGAGAAGTCTGTTTCAACTATTAAAAAAAATCTGTTTCAACTATAAGTCAAACAGCGATAAATAAAGTTATAGTTAAGGCAAAAAAAAAAAAAAAAAAAAAAAAAAAAAAAAAAAAAAAAAAAAAAAAAAAAAAAAAANCGGTACCAGCGTATATCAACCCCAGTTCAGATGTTTTATAACATTTCCTTAACTTAAAAAAAGAGTGAATAAATATGCAGTTTCATTACTTATCTACCTTTTAACAGAAATTTTTAAGTATTTCCTCGATGCTACGCTAATTTAAATTGAAATAAGTTTTAAATAATTTGAAATCTTAGTCGGATGACACTGATTAAGTTTAGCTATTTAGGGTTAATGAAGGCAATCCTCATTCATGGGTTTTGTTTATAATAAATTTTTTGGATAGTTTTTATTATGCATTAAAAGTAAATTTCGTCTTTAACATTGCATTTAGTATAGTTAATTCAGAATATCGGTAAATTTAAGAAATTCGATCATGCGAAGTATAATGGCGAATAAAATCACCTCTTTAAAAAATTTACAACTAAAATATTTAAAGTTATGTTTATATAAGTAGAATATACAATAAAAAGTTTTTTAAAAAAATCTGGGATATAACTTTCACTATTAATTGATTGAAATCGATGATGAAACAGATGTTCTAAAATAGAAACATAATTCATTAAAATAATTTAAAATAAATACAGTAGGAATTTACACATAATAAACGCATGCGTACAAACAATTGAAATTTATCTTATGTTAACTAAAATAGCAAGAGTTAACTTTGAGGAGGTTAAGAGGACGTTTATTTCAAGGAGACATTCATTCAAGTCTGCCATTTTATCGATTCTAAAGGGGCAGACGAGACACCCAGACGATTCCCATATGACTCATTCATAAAATAACCAAAACAGATGAGAATAAAACAAATACGACGCAAACGTCGAAAAAATATCAATTTCCGAGATACTCACTTTAAAAGCAAGGTAAAAAATATATAGAGAATTTGTTAAATCAATTTTTTTCATTTCACTTTAAAACAATAGTCGTTCCAAAATAACTTATTTCAATTTAAATTTCAATGCCAATTTAATCTATTAAATAATTCATATACATTAACAAATGAATTTACTATGTTGATTCCGATTTTTAAAGGATTAAATTAGGAATCATTTAAAAATAGAATTTTTAATAGCAATTTTTTTCTTCTCAAAATTGGACTTTCCCAAAATTATATTTAACTATAAAAAACGTTTAAATTTAGGAGAATTAAAAATCTTTCCATAGAATTTAGAAAGATATTGAATTTACATTTCTTTGATTAAATGAATTGTTAATCGGATGTTTATTCAAATTCATGTTAAAATGCCAACCTTCGCATCTTTTCTAAAAAAATATAAAATTTTTGAAATTTTTACAAATTTAATACTTCTTAAAAACATGAAGTTGTAGCTGAGATAGAAAATTTGATTAATCTTAATAAAAAAGTTTTTTTTTTGGAGTGAATCTTATTTTTTTATGATGAAACAATTCAATTAGATCGAAAAAAATTAGCATTCAAAGTGTTTGTTACGAATATATATAATTTTTGTAAGAGAATATGATCCAAACCAAAGTAAATTATTACTACCCCAAGTCTTTCAATGAAATGTAGTTAATAATTCAAATTGGATGGATACACGGAATATTTGTAAACCGATCACATACGCACAATATTTTTTAATAGAAACTGATTAGAAATCAATAGAGCATACATGACAGCCCGCGATAAAGCAACGTTTCATAACAGATGGAACAAAAAATGTTCCTAAAAATGCGAAGACCGTGTCCAAGTGATCAGATACATTGGCCAACAGCCAGATTAATACACCACTACAGAAATTCGAAATCTAAAAAAGCAATGAATCTTGGAAACTAATCTTCGCCAACTATTTCTAAAAAGTGCTTTTTTTGGGGAATTGATGGGAAAATTACACGATTCCTATGGGACCCGTTTCCAATTGAACAATGTTCAATACTATATGCTCAACAACTGTATATAATGTTTTCGATTTCAATTTGTATTTAAAGTTTTCGTATGCACTATTTTAAAACATGCGGGTGTTTTGATAACAATAATTTAAGTACTTCGAAATGAATAAATTAACTACAACTCTGAATACTAAAATATAACAATCGATTCTTTAACATTTAGCCGGCATTTGCCCCACGTGTGAAATTTAAATTCTATTAAAAAAGTAAAAAACTTTGCAAAAAATAAGATTTTTAAAATTAAAATCTTACAAATAATTCATGTATATTTTGTTTACAAATTAATAAAAATATAATACATATAATTTTAAGGAATTTCATATTAAATATAGTCCATGAATAGAGCTTACTATTAAAAGCGTCGTCATTTAAGCTTTCTCTACAAGGAAAATATTGATTTAATTGGCTTAATTTTAAGCGGAAGTAAATACCTTGGAAAGCGACTAGATCTTTCAATGTATTGTCCATACAAAAATAAAAACCCTTTGCAAGAACGCGCGCTTTCTTCTCAATCTAGAACACATCTTGTAAAAATCTTTCAATTTTTATAATATAGTAAGTCAATGTATGTCTGACCACGGTGTTGATTTAAAATATCCTCAGTAGTAGACGGAACCTGGGGTAGAATCCCTTTTGCCACTGGAGGTTTCACTCTCTATATAACGTAAATACGGGTTAGTTCGTTCAAACAGTCATCCACGATGGCTTTTTTGTTCTTATGCTTGACCCAGGTCTTCTGGGTTTGACTTAATAAAAGATTACGGAGTTTAATATTGATAGTCGTAAACTCGGAATCGTTTTGCCTGTTCGAAGCCGGCTATAAAATAAAATGTTTATGTAAGACATTACAATCCCCTTATTTCCAAAGTTTTCTTAAAAAGGTAAAATAAAAAATGTAATAAAGATTTCCCATGGATATTTTTCAATTTTGAAACAAAAGTTGAATTCCGGCAAGGAAAAGTTGCAAGATTTCTTAGAAGAATCAGAGTTTAGTTTCGAACACAAGAGATTTCGAAAGAATATCATTCAAATTGTTATAAAACGTAAATTTAGTTTTAAGCTAAGTTACATCTTCTATTTGACATGGTTTTAAATTAGATAACGACAGTAAAAGTCAAAGCAAAAACCAGGAGGGGGTGTTGCGACTTTACATAAGCATGAAAGGGGTGTATGTCATTTGCCTACTTTTGGATGGCATGGGGGAGTGCAAAATGGCGAAAAATATGCTAACTTAATATTTTAACAGCCTTTAACACTCAATTTAAAACTAAATACGAAATAGGATGGAATTTAAATGTATTGTAAAACTTTATTCAACTTCAAATTAAGAAAAAATGCAAAAACGTGAAAGAAGATTTCACATATCGCAGAAGATCATATATCAACTCGTCGTCAGCAAATAGCTTTAAAATGTAACTACTGATCAAGGAGTTACACGTACACTTTATTTAAAGGATTTTTATCACATAACGGCAGAGCCTTTTTAAGGCTGAACCTGTATTAATATAAAAAGAAGAAATACGTCAATCAATCTCTCTCTCTCTCTCTCCGGAAATAAAAATCCTAGCCGGGAGATTATGGATTATTTCGGGAGAAAGATAAGGGTCAACGACTGAGCCTGTTATTGACAACTATTGCTGACTGTGTGAACGACACTTTAAATCTTTGCCTCGTGCCAAAGATAAATATCTTTTTTGCGTGAGGTTTCATCTACAACAGAAGTTTTTAATTCTCAAAAATGAATTCAATAGAAGATGTTTACAGTCTTGTGTCACTGAACTTAGAGGATACTTAAAGTAAAAAATCTAATTAATGAAGAATGGTAATGGATATTGAGTTTAACAAACTGTGCTTCGTTTTTAGTTTCGTTTATTTCCAATCAATCCAGTTTCTTCCGGGAAAAAAACAACCCATACCTGCCAACTTCAGAAGTTTGAGATTTTTGGAAACCACGACATAACAAGCAAAACAAATTCACACATTTATTTACAGTTATGTAACACTAAGAACCAATTAAATTTATTTGAGTCATCACTTTTTTATTTCTAAAAATTATAAAATAAAATAGTTTGTTTCAAAACAGACTGAGCGACTAATTTAGCGCTTTTTTTTTAAAAAAAATCTAATCAAATTCTCTTAAGTTTGACAAAAAAAAAAAAGAAAAAAGAATTTAAGTCTAGATTTTTGTTATGTGGCTGAATTAATCTTTAACAGGTCAAATCACTGTAGGAAGCTTTTTTTTTGGTCAAACAATAAACATTACTTTCCTTGCTACTGACTTTATTTTGTATCTATTCCTTCAGAAGAATGAAAACATTTTGAAATTTTCAGACTATCGAGAGCTTTTTTTACTTTTTACTAAAATAGAAAACAATCAAAAAAAGAAATTTAAATATTATTCAAATCTTAGAATCTGCTATTTTAGCAAGAACTAAGACACCACTCTAAAAAAAGAAATCCTCTGCTCCGTATACACTTTGTTAAAAGGAGGGTATTATGCTATTTTCGATAAACTTAACTAATAAACTAAACAGACTAATAATAAAATCGATCAGTAAATACAAATTTTGCCAAGGTCGGCTGTTTCATATACTTATTATGGAGAAAAATAAAAAACTGAAAAAATACTTTGTTGGCAGGTCTGGAAATACCCTTTTTTAACGGACTCTTCCCAAGTAATTTTATCTTAAAATCGAGATATTCAATATATTTTTAATTTAAAAAACCGTAGATCAATTCATAATTTTAAAAACTGATTTTCAAGTGTAGTTTTAAAATTATGAATTTTTTAAATTTTTATAAAATCACTAAAAGCAGGACACTGAGAAAAAATTTTACGTAAATTTTTCAAAATTTCACAGAAAGTGAGGAATAATCACTGACAATTCTGTAAGACACCCCCACACAGAAATTCACTTGATTATAAAAATTCTTAGTAAATTGGATTAAAAATTAAAAGGAAAAAATCTTACAGAAGCATAGGGTTTATGTTATAATTTAAGCATGGAGCATAATCGATTTTTATATTGCACTAAACATCTTTGATTAGAAAAAATTCTCTGCAAATTGTATAAACGTCAAGGGGGAAAAAATATGCAAGTTCACGAGATTGGCACTATACTCAAATTTGCAAAGGCCACTACCTAATATCAATGAATAGTTCAAATATTTTAATTATCATTTTATATAATTAAAATTTTACATCAACTACGAACATGGTAGCATAAGAGAGGATATTTCCGTATTGTGATCTGTTGAGCCAACTACAATCGTCCATGGTGCCAAACAGATTTTAAACTTTCAAAATTTTTTAAAAAGTAACTTAGATGTTGCACAGGGGTGGCTACAAGCTATACCTTTCAAGTTGGCACCTTTCTGTGATTATTCTACCACACATCACGATACGGAAATCTCCCCCACAGAACGAAGCATTGCTAAAGAATCAAGGTAACCAAGGAAGTGTATCAAAATTGCAAAAGGAAAAATAATAAAACGTGCTTTATAATACAAACCTCAAAATAAAACATGCCACTTAATATTTTAAACTAGAGTCGCATGCAGGGAAGGTTTAAAATATAAACTTAAAAACATCCATGAGGGAGGGGCTGTTTATTCTTACCCAGAAACGCAACCTTCTTTGGCGGTCTTCTCACAACAGCAGATGAGGTACGGGGAGGTGGCGAGATTACTTTTTTTTCTGGAAATACAATTTTCTTTTTTTACACACACACAAAATGAAAATATTAAAGATCCTGATAATATTTAATTAACACTTTTTTTCTTTCTGTATAGTCTTATTCTATTAAAAAAAAAAAAGGGGGTAAGGAATTTTAACACCTTTTGAAATGAGTAATAGATGAAATGGTTGTTTTAGAGTGAAGTTTCAATATATTTTTCCGTACAAAAATATAATAAACAGGAAATCTATTTCAAAATATCGTCTCAATTTAAATGCCGTCGTAACTTATTACTAAGTCAATGATTAAATTTACTGAGCTTTTTCAAATGCATGGATTATAGGAGAAATAGTGTTTTTAATATTAAACTTAAAATTTCTTAAAAAGTTTGTGATATATGAATTTAATGACATAAGAGCTGGAAACTGCTACGCTGCGCTAACTTACTCAAGCTGATTAGTACGTACTCAAAATAATGAATTCATAATGCCATGGAGCACGATCACGGGATAATTCTCACAAGGAGTAAAGAGTCTAGATCTCTGAAATAAAATGATTTAAAGAACGTAAAATTTGTGTATTACTTTAATATATTGATTTCAGTTTTATCAAAGTAAATTATACCAAAATGAAAAGATGCATAGATAAGAAATTAATTAACCAACAAAAATGTGAATGAGCTTTAACCTATTAATTTCTTAATCTATAAATGTCTTTTTTTTTTTTCCTTCAGAATTATATTACGATTACTTTAGCATAGTATTTTTAGAATTTCTTCAGCGAATTTGAAAAAGCTTGTGTATTTTCAGAAAGATTAATTCTAATAATTAATGTTTCGAAATCAGAAATATTAATTCTGCTGTTAAAATTATAAATATTAATTCCTGCTTCAGGTATTGTTAATTTTATCTATGAAAATAATTTGAGACACTTCTTTTCAACTGACTTAAAATTTTATTATTTACATTAAAATAGAATAAATTTAATCTTCCAAACTAATTTTCAAACTTATCCAAGCCATAAAAAAATAAGTTGCTAATTTTGGTAGTCTGATTAAAAGAAAATTATATTTTTATATGTTAAGCCTACTTAACCTTATAAAAACTAAATATTTCTAATCAGTTATTAGCTAATTTTTTTATTAGTTAAAATCAGTACCGTGGAGTCGAAATCTGTGTCGTTGGAGCTTGATAATTACTCTGCAGATGTTTAAAAGATGTGTTCCAACTCAGACTTGTCAAAATTCAGATTCTATATAAAAGTCGGATCTTAAGAAAATATTTAGACGTAATTGAAATTATGTGAACTCAATAATACTCAAATAAATAATATGACAAATATTTAAAATATAATTTATCATAAATGATGTATCCGTAAGTAGTTCTTTTCCAATAAATGTTTTGTGCAATTACAATATTTAATAAAAATGTTAATATAGATATGCTTGCAATTGTAATGTTATAATTTAAAAAGAAATTTTTAATACTTTTAATTTGAATATTTAACATAAAAAATGGCGCATAAAAGAATAGAAATAACTAATTTGTAATTAACATTGAGTTAATATCGTTATTATTAAGCCTAAGTTTGACTCCTCGGAAAGTCAGGAGTTAGATAGTTTAACTACAGACTCCACGGTCCTGATTAATGATTAAAACTGATTCTTCTGATTAGCGGAACTAATTAAAATTAATTCTCCACTTAACCCTATTAATTAAAATGCAACTGTTGTTCGCGTTGATTAAAACTTCCAATTAATATTTCTTTCCAAAGAAGAAGAAAAAAAAAGATAACTTAAAAGGCACTTTCACTCACCAACGTTAGGCACTTGGCAGGTCCTACAAAAGCACTGCAAGACGGATTTCGTCAAAGTATGAGTTATAAAATTTGTGGCTACCATTTCTAAAGTAAAAGCTCAAATTGAAGCCGAAAAAACTTGGGAATTAAAAAGCTCTTGAAATGCGGAAGCACGGATGTTCTAAAACGCACGAGAGATTTCCTTGTGAGGCAGTGAAATTATTATCCAGGGGATATTCTTTCTCTGTAGTGTACCTTGCAGGAAAGCCAACACCCAGTAACTGGGGTGCGTGGGGGGATTGCTTCCAGACGCCTCACCGCCAGATCGTCGCCAAAACTACCATTAAAAGAATGAGTCATTCTTACTCGCCAAATATTATTCCGGATTTTAAGAAGTCTAGGATGAATATGTTTTTATATTGGACAAATATTAAGATGTTAATTTTAGATAAACCAGTATTAAGGATAGTTTTTGTTTCGATAGCACAACAAAATGATCTGATATATTTAAGATTTTGAAGGTCGATTTGTTAATGACATTTAGAATTTTTTGAAATTTTGAATTCTTTATCTTTTTAGGAATTTGAAAATTTTTATGGGGATATTCTACTTTCTCGAACAATTTTATTACATTTTTAGCATTAAAGCAAGTGGCACCAAATAAAAGAAAAAGTCGATACTAGAGATTTAAAAAATAAATAAAAAATTAAAAATCGGAGCAGCCGGACTTTGCCAGACATACATTTTGAATTATTCTCAACACGTTTTTGAAGGTAAAAATGTGTTAGTAAAATATGTTTATTTCCTTTATTTTCCATCTAAGTTTTTCGGAATCTTTTTTTTTTTTCCAACAAAATATTTCTTAAAATGACAACCATACTACATATTTTATGAAATGCTATTAAAAATTGAACGAAGTGGTACAAAACGTAACTCTGAGTCAAATAGTTCTTAAGTCGGAGTTTAAAAATTATAAAAATGTAAAAAGAAATTATTTTAAGTAAATTTCAAAAATGTATAGCTCAAAAAAACTGTTCAAAAAAAAAATCTGAAACTTGGTATTTTTCGTCTATTAATTCTGCTAGCTCTACCTATGACGAACCAAAAATAGAAAAACTGAAATTTTGACCATTGATTGATTTGATATTCATGCTAATTTTCAAGCCGGGCTAATTAGGTCTATTTTCTAAACATTTATGAGGATGTAAAGTTAAGTTCGAACCAAAAAAAAAAAAAAAGACATAAAATTTATTCAACATTTAGTTACCAATTATTACATAGTAATTTTACCGTTTCAGTTAGAAATATTTAGTATTTTATAATAGAGTTTCGAAAAATATTTAGTATAGATTAATAATGCGTCTATCACAGCTTTGATTGGTAAGTGTAAAAAAAATTAAAATCTCCAATTTACAAAAAAATAAGTATTGGTCCAACCCATGCTCTAATTATACACTAGCAGTTAAAAAAAGAAAAAAAAACAAGGAAATTTTCTGATAACAATATCTCAAAAAAAATCATATGGAATGGGATAGATAATCCTGCTTTTGCAAGAAATTTTTTTTTTAAAAAATGTGGAAGAAGTAAACATGACTAAAAACCACCAAGAAAAATTCGATTAAAAAAATAATTTTAGAAGCAATGTACAAGAAATAATTTAAAAGTAAAATTCTAGTTAAATTGAGAATCCTCTACGTTCACTGTTACGACTTGAAGCGGAAATTGACTACAACATAACAAGTGTTTCTTCGGACTGAGAAAGCAACTAGGGTCATCATATTCAGAGCTCTCTGAATATTTTTTTATAAAAAAATCCCTTTTGGGCCCAGTGCAAAAGAGGTTGTTGGCAAACTAGATATAACTGAGTTATATAGAATCTGTAGGCAACCACAAATCATCTGAAGCAAGGGGTTAGGATGGCTCGACCCTGTCTGAAAAAGCGCAGAAAGTAATCAAGTCACAAAAAAAAAAAAGGTTATTTTGGGGAGATGAAAGTAAGCAAATATTAAATTCACGCAACAAAAAAAATATTCGTTCATTTAAATTTATTTGGTTAAAAAAGAATTCCGTTCTCAAAAGCTAGATAGATCCCTCATCGTTTATTTTTAATATAACGCTTTGGGCCTTAAATTTTGGGACATTTCAAATTTTTTTCTAGTAACTTTTCGTTCTCACAGAAATGAGACTGTTAATTATTAGAAATATGTTTTCAATTAACACTTTTTCCTTCTCACAGAAACATGGTAACAGTTATTGAAACTTTCCACAGCGCGAGAACGCGAGAATCTCGCATTTTTTTTTTCTTTTCTCGCATTAAAAAAAGATTACCGCGAGAAATTCGCGCATTCTATAAATCAATTTCAAAATTCGCGAATTCCTCGCATTTTGGATGAAGTTTCGAATTACGCCATTTAGAATAAAATCCGTTTCACTTTTCTTCTTGGATCTTTCACTATTTTCAACATCTGCCCCATTATCTAGGTTCCCTATTTACCAGTATTGTTCAGAACCTTTTCGAACAACAGAACACAACCACGGAACCCCTTTCAGAACAAATTTCTCTGCAACCACGTGTTTGCCGAAGGTGAGGTTTCTTCATGTAAGACGTTCAAATTTTTTATGCACTTATGTAAGATGGACAAATACCTTGTAAAAGCAAAATCTTCTATGATGATGCACCAAAAATATTAAATGCTTTAAGAAATAGAAGACGCTAAATATGTATTATAATTAAAGAAATGATTTTTTTTTTCTCAAGAGTTTGTGTTTTTTTAGTTTTTTGAAATCTCACCCTGTTTTTGAGAAAGGGTGAGAAATTCTCACCCATTTTTTTTCTATGATGAAAACACTGTAATGGTGAAAGGATAGATTGGCACCAATGCAGACTGCATTGTATCAAACGGAAATACTAGATTATAAAAAACGGAATAGTAAACTGATCAAAAATCTTTGAAAAGAATACTTACTAAAATTAAAAAAATGTTACTCTTTTTCGATGATTTTCTTTTTAAGACAAACCTTGTAGGAATCAAACATACATAATATTCCTCAGTTTAGTTTTCCAGGGGCGATGGTGAGCTCAAGCCAAAATTTCGGAAAATTTCTTGAGTTTAAAAAAAAATAATAAATAAAGTTTAAATTGAAAAAAAAAAATTAAACAAGTTTTTCCTTTATCTCAATGTTTCTAAGTTTACTTAAAATATATTTAAAATTTTACACATATCCAGGGGTGATTGTGAGCCCCAGTCAAAATTCCGGAAAATTTCTTGAGTAAAAAAAATAATAAATAAAAAAAGTTTAAACCGAAAAATTAGAAAAAAATTTAAACAAGGTTTCTTCGTTTTCTCAATATTTCCTAGTTTACTTAAAATTTTACACATACCTATGATGATCTGGAGAAGCAATTGAAATTTACAAATATGTCTTTCTTTCTTGAGTTTATGATTATAATAACTATTTACTGATAAAAAATGAATATTAATCTTGAATATAAGCTTATAAAGTAGCTCTCTTAAAAACAAATAAAATAAATTGCGTTTTTAAGTTCCACCTTTGAAATTTTGATTTCCGAAATCTTTTGTGATCACCGATTTTTTTAAACATCTGAACCTTCGCTCTTCGGAAACTTCCGGATCACGGTTAGCGAAAAATCCGGAAATCCGGATTTTTTCATGAGCACAATCAGCCCTGGATGATCCATTGCTTTGATAATAAAATTACATTTTCTGTAAATCTATTAGACGCAATGAGATACTTAAAATGTGCTTGGAACAAAGTTTCTTCTGAAACAATTATAAACAGTTTCAAGTGCGGTGGGTTCACAGATGGAAAAGAAATGAATCTTCAAGAAATAAGTGAAGCAGAACCAGAAACGTTGANTGAATATTAATTATGAATATAAGCTATTATAAAGTATCTCTCGGGCTCTCCCTTACAAACAAATAAAATAAACTGTGTTTTTAAGTTCTGCCTTTGAAAATTTAATTTCCAGAAATTTCTGTGATCAATGATTTTTTGAAACGTCTGAACCTTCGATCTCCGAAACTCCAGATCACTGTCAGCGAAAAATCCGGAAATCCAGATTTTTCCGGAGCACAATCAGCCCTGGTTTTCAAACTCGACTGAAAGGTATCTTATGGGCAAAAGTGTTTTTCTGGTATGTTTAAAGTTAATACATTAACCTTTTGATATTTAGTTCTTTTTTAGATTGTTGCTTCATTAATATTGGTGTAAAACTACGCTGACGATGAACAAATACAAAATGCTCCATTAATGAACTTCCTTAATACATACACTTTGTCAAAAATGAAAATAATGTTCACAGTTTAAAATATTAAAGACCAGAAACAAAGAAACGTGATGAAATCTGATGGAGAGATTAAAAAAGCATTAAAACATCAGATTGTTTGAAGAAAGCGAGAAAAGCAGACTTGAACACATTTAAAGTTAATGTGCAATCAAACTGGTTTCCATATTTTTTATCCCACGCTTAAATATAAATTGAATACATGTCAACCAGATTTTATAATTACGCTGAAGCACAATGTTTATATTTTTAAAGCACAATGCTTAGCTGACCAATAAAGCATATACAATTTATTATGTATTTATTACGCAAGGTAATTAAAATACGAAGACTGTAATTTCTTAAATCAAATTTCTTAAGGAAAATCTACATAGATAAAATTGAAAAAATGCATCCATTAAGAATATAATTTTATTACTTCAAAATTTGAGTAATGTATTTTGAACATAAAATTTTATGCAATACAATATTTTACATATTACAAACTAAGATTTACCAAACTTTAAAATAAATTTTAATTGCAAAGCGTGACTTTTTAAATTTTGTTTATACGATTTACTACGCTTAATTATTAAATCACGTGTATACGAATCACGATACGCTATATGTAAATCGAAGTTATATGGAACGTGGAGCAAGCCTTGAAAATTGCGTATCACAAGTACTACTTGCAAATTGAAATACATTTTTTTCGTAAATTGGGACAATATGAACAGCAAATAGTTTGTACAAAGTTCCAAGGCATAAATCGCTATGAGTGATACTTAAACCACTTTAATGTGATTCTTCGATTACTTCAATGCAAAACAAATGCGCTTTGCTTAATCATTTTTTCCGAAAAATCAAAGTGATTTGGTAATTATTGAAATGTAAAATGAGATTTAGTGATAAGCAACTTAATCAACTTTTCAATAAGCAACTTAAACTGAGAATTGTGATGCACGGTATAGAGAACATTTAAATAC